TGAAATTTATTTGAATTATTTCAGGTCTATTACACACATTGTTTTACTTTCAGACTTTCAGAATTTTCAAAAATTAGTTTTCATATCTTACTGTGGCAAGATGCAGCTACAATATTTATGTAAATCTCTATGTTTTTACATCTATGGCAAAGTTACAGGATAGCTGTCACTTTACACTTCTATTAAAACTCAATAAAACCCTAAATTATTAACTAGTGATAACAACTACTATTTATTGAGGATATTCTATGACAGACTATACCAGGTACTTCACCAACAGTTGAAGTCACAAACACCCAAAGATACAGATAATGTAAGAGGAAACTAGAGCTCAGAGACGTAAAGTGAGGCACCCAAAGTCAATCGGTCAGAAGCAACCAATGGTGAACCCAAGTCTACTTGACCTCAATTACGAACTTTCCATAGTAATTGTATATTACCTTGCCAGCTAATATTCTTACTACTTTCACAACAAGCAGTGAAATGATTATTAAAAAAAAAACAAAACTATGCTAGAAATCTGTTTAAAAGGCTTTGTTTAAATTTAATTCAAGATATTTTGTTGGCATATCCTGAAGTCACACTTTCAAACTACTGATAAAGATTTTACATGGGAGAACCATATTTCTCCCAAAAAGATAGAACATTTCTGTCACTTTTTATATTACTTGCTTCCAAAAATGATTTGAAACATTTCCAAAATTGACAAAACTAAAACATCTATAATAGTTTTTAACATCCTAGATAATGTGACAGAGTAAAGATTGGCTGATCCGGGAATTCCCTAACTCAGAAACCAACAAAGTCAATTGATAAGGATATCTGGCTGTGTGTTTTCAAGAAGGGAAAGGATCCAAATGCACTGAGGAAAAAACTTCAAAGCTCAAGACTATCTCAAAAAAGGATACAATTTTTTCCAACCAGGTGGTGTAAGCCCTGTAACAGAACTCCTGACAAGTTTCCACTTCCCAAACTAAATACACAGTTCTAATTTAGCACTTTCGACCCTAACCCACTCCTACTTTTTCTGACACAAATACTGGTACATGATCAGGCTCTTAGGAAACCAAAGAGAATAAACAATTCATATCTCTTAAATAAATATTAGATGTGAGACAAGCAAGTCTGAGATAATGTAGTAAAAGAGTTAAGGAGAACTGAACCATATCATATCAGAAAAACAAAATATCAGTAAAATTGTTCAAGTGTGAAACAAAGGAAAGGAGAAAAGAGGCAGAATGAAATCTATCCACAACACTGTAAGAAAGAAACCTAAAGAAGTAAAAATCACAAAGTGATGAAATACTCAATTCTCAGATTAAACAAAATCCAGATACAGAAAAATAACCCCATTGTTACGGTCGTTTCCATAGAAGAACTTAAGGACAGCATACTTAACGAAATGAGAGAGTAAACATGAAATGATAAAAGCACAAAATCAAATGAATAGGAGATTTTAGAAATAAAGAACAAAATCATGAACCAAGCAACAATATTATAAAAACAATGAGTCTGAGACCAGAAAGAAAATTAAAATGGCTGAAATAAATTAACAGCATAGGGAAAGGACTTAAAAATTACAGTGAACATCAAATACTGGGAAAAGAACTAACTAAGGTAACTAGAAAGAATACAGTGGGTAAGGGGAACAAAGATATCTACCCAACACATGGAATAGAAAAAATATTGAAGGCTATAAGAGATATTTATATATTTATGCATCAACTTGACTGTGATACATAAATATATACATATTTTCTTCCAACGAAGGAAGAATTAAGTAAGTATATTGAAAAGGGATATTGTGTTACTAAAAAAAACCCTGATTGGCTTATTCAGGAAAAATAACACACTGAGACACACCCTCGTTAAAATGCTGTCTTTTCAAGATAAAATAGTTTCTGCATACAAAAGTAAGAGGGAGAGAGTTGTGGGAAGCAGGGAAGAGAAAATCAGACCGGTCTCAGACTTCTCATCAATATTCAAGATCATAAAACGATAAAGACTGAAATTTTCTAAGGGAAAAATAACGTGATCCAATTTTTTTATCCTCAGTTTAGCCGTCCTTACAAAATAAAATTAACAGGCAGATACTGCTAACCTGAAAATAAGTCAAAGTAAATAGAACACAAGATCCCTTGCTTAAAAGATAAAATGGGATGAAATTCAATCAACTTAGGAATTAAACTTTAAGAGCCCGAAAAAAAACAGACCCAATTTTTTTCCATTTACCACAGTCAGCAAAAGAAATGTACAGATTGGGGTCAATAAACTTTCTGAAAAGGGTCACAGAGCAAATATTTCAGGCTTGGCAGTCTTTAGGCTCTCTGATGCACATGTTTTACTGTGCTGTTCTAGTTCAAAAGTAGTTGTAAAGAACATGTAAATAGATGGGTGTGGCTGTTTCTCAAAAATTTATTTACGAAAACAGATGGCATGTTGTATTTGACGTGTGGGCTGTAATTCGTCAAATCACAGATTGGATGAACATTAGTCGATTAGCCTGGGTTCCTGTAGTGAGGAAAGCTGGAGTAAAACCCTCAGTTACCCATCAAAGAGATGTGTCATGAATGAGAAATAAACCTGGTTTTAATCTGAGATTTTGTTTTTTTGTTAAGTCAACATAACCTAGCACATCCTGAAGATAAAAATGAGTGTTAATTGTTGCAAACTTTTTGTAAAGTAAAATGATAATCTCAAATATACAACCAAATTAACTCATATTTGTGAGATAACAAATCCAATGATATATACATGCTACAAAAGATGAACTGAAATGTTCATCAACAGAGAAACTGTAAATAACTTACTATTATTGTACCTCCACACAGATGACCTGCAACATGAGAATTCTTTATTAGCAGCATGAAAGACTAGACATCTTGATATCTTGACACTGATCATATATACAATATACGATTTACCATAAGGAATATATATATGAGATATGATTTATTATATGATATACATGTGATTTATTGTAAGGAATTGGCTAATGTAATTATGGAGGCTGGGAAGTCCCATGACCTGCTGTCTGCAAGCTGAAAACCTAGGAAAGCAGATGGTGTAGTTTCAGTCTCAGTTCAAAGGCCTGAGAACCAGCAGAATCAGAACTGATGGTATAAATTCTAGTTCAAGTGCACAGGGAGCTCTCGTGGTTTAAGTCCTAGTCTGAGGACAGAAGCCCAATGTATCAGCTCAACAGCCAGGCAGAGAGTGAATTCTTCATTCCCCCACCTTTTTGTTCTGTTATTCATGCCCCTCAAGATTGCATGATGCTCACGCATATTAAGGAGGGCTACCCGCTTTATTCAGTTTACTGATTCAAATGCTGATCTTCCCCAGAAACACCCTCACAGATACACCCAAAAATAATTTGTAGTCTGGTATCCCGTGGCACAGTCGACACATTAAATTAACCATCACAATCCTTCTGTTACAAATAGTTAAGATAAATGATAAAATATTTTCATAACTTTTAAAAATTGAAGTATAGTCAGTTTACAATGTTGTTATCAATTTCTGGTTTGCAGCATAATGTTCAGTCATACATGTACATGCATGTATTTCTTTTCATGTTCTTTTTCATTATAGGTTACTACGATATATTGAATATAGTTTCCTGTGCTATATAGTATAAGCTTGTTATTTATCATCCCACTGTGGTTCCCTCTTTCTGTCTCCAGTTGAAGAAGATCTTTTTTGATAGGTTCCAGTCTTTTTTTTGTTGTTGTTAAAAAAAATTGTATTTACTTAGATGAATTCAGAATGTCAACAAAACAGCTGCAACACTTTTTTTCGCAATTTCAGAGTGGTATTCAGTTAACAGAACAACACTTATTTCGTATAAGCTGCATCAGAGACAACTAAAGATGAAAAAACTACTATCCCCATATATAACAAATTAGTGCTGTGCACCAGCAAGAACCTGCTTTAAATTTCCATGCCAATTTACAACCCCCATACTGTACCAGGCAAGGTTAGTGGCTACTGAAAATACCACCAGGACAGGGCTATCTAAAGACACATTCAGTAGTGTGTTAACTATACACAAAAAGACACTGTACAGTTTAAAAACAAATCTTACACAGCCTTACATTTCAATTTTTTCTTTAAAAGGAGTTGTATACGGGGGGTTAAATGCTTTATAGACAAGAAAAAAAAACTGCACTAGAACCAACTTATTCATCATATCATCTTCTTCCTCTTCGTCTTCATCTTCCTCCTCCTCCTCATCCTCATCATCTTCTTCATCTTCTTCCTCTTCCTTCTTTTTCTTGCTTTTTTCAGCCTTGACAACTCCCTTTTTTGCTGCATCAGGCTTCCCTTTTGCTCGATACGCAGCAATATCCTTTTCGTACTTTTCCTTGTCATCTGCAGCAGTGTTATTCCACATCTCTCCCAGTTTCTTTGCAACATCACCAATGGATAGGCCAAGATATTCTCCTTTGACTTTTGGACAATATTCAGAACAAAACAAGAAAAAGGCCAAAGGAGGCCTCTTGGGTGCATTGGGATCCTTGAACTTCTTTTTTGTTTCCCCTTTAGGAGGGATATAAGTTTTCATTTCTCTTTCATAATGGGCCTTGTCCGCCTTTGCCATGTCTTCGAATTTTCCTTTCTCTTTAGCAGACATGGTCTTCCACCTCTCTGAGCACTTCTTAGAAAACTCCGAGAAGCTGACTGAAGCATCGGGGTGCTTCTTCTTGTGCTCCTCCAGGCAAGTTTGCACAAAGAATGCATATGATGACATTTTGCCTCTCGGCTTCTTAGGATCTCTTTTGCCCATGTTTATTTTTTCCTCAGCGAGGCACAGAGTCGCCCAGTGCCCATCCGGCTCTCATGTGCCCCGGCGCTGTCTCTGTGGAGCTCAATGTACTGCAATGGCTGTTCCAGTCTTTTTTCAATCGATGGTTGTTTAGCAGTCAGTTGTGGTTTTGCTGTGATCGTGACAGAGGGAGAGCTGGTGGTCTTACTACTCTGTCATCTTGACCAGAAACCAATAAAATATTTTTAAAGTTATTTTTTTCAAATGCTTAGTTCAATTGGTCCAACAGTAAGGAGATCACAGAGATCCCAAAAGTGAAATGAGATAGTATGATAGATGTGGGCACACTGTTGTACTTTTAGTAACTGTAAGTGTCCAATTTTCATCATCAATGTATGATGATTAATGCTGATTAAATCTGCAGTAGAGATTACAGGTTTATAATCTGTAAATAAATCTAAATTACTGTGTTCTTCTTTTCTGCAATTTCCAGCAATAAACTCCAAATCATTACAACTATTAGCTACCTGACCAAAAGTGTATCACTGAGATAGTTCAATTATAAGGTGATATGAAGACAGCTTAAAATTACTGAAATTTTCATCTGTTTTATCATTAATAATTTCCTACTACACTGAAATATATAGTATGTGGTAAATATAGTAAATGTTCTCTTTTACTAACAAGTTACGGATATGTGCACTGGAGTGTATTTAAATGTGTTTGTAGTTTTCCTATTTATATTTCTTTTCATTTTAGAGTTCTCTTCTATGCTCTGCACTTAACTCAGTTTGTTCAGTGTTTTGTGTGGGATTCTGGTACATCTTCATCCTAATAGTTATGTAAAAAATTCTATTAAAAATACCCAAGTGTCAGTTTGTCTCGACTAACTCTAAACTCTTCCAGGATGAGAGATTGTCACTTTCATGTTTATATCACTTGGGTGTCTCACAGATCCTCGATTAAAGGCCATGTGTGTACTGACCTGTACTTATTCTCCTCTAGGAGTGTTGGTCTCACTTCCTACCCTCTTCTACCTTAATCGACTCTCTGCTCAAACACAAGATTGCATATTGTATAAAGATGTGCTTCAGTTTTAATTTGTGTTTTCACTTATACTCATAGGACATGGAAGTGGGGAATCAATGCCATTACAGAGAAAAGTTGACAAAAAATTTGGTGATCTAGTTTGGCTGGTAGAAAATCAATTCTCTCCTTAATTGCTTAATTCTTCACTTACTTTGTTTACACACAGCTAAATTACATACAAATGAGATGGACAGTCATGTCAATGTTAAGGACATGCAGTTTTGTTTGTTTCTTCAGGGTAAAGCACTGACAATAAGAATTCGCTGCAATATAAACAACATTAGAGAAACCATTCCTATATAATTGTTTTTTTTTTTTTAAACCAAGCAGGATACCCTCATACATTATTGATGGAGGCCGCTAATTCTGATACTCCCTCTGGGAACTCTCACCAAATAAGATGTGCTCAATAGGTCTTCAATCTATACTCGGCAA